TGGGGCAAGAGCAGAATTATTAACAAATCTGCAATAAAATGCTTTTTACTGCATTATGGAAGTACTCTATGCTGAAAACAAGTACTCTTAGCTGAAATATAAAAGAGGATATAGTGAAACGAAACAAGGAAACAAACATACTAAATGGAGAAATTTCGCTCATATTGTAATAAAAATAGCCTGTATACGCACTTGCCCCGTTTACGAACTTACCCCACTTCACCTTAAGTTATCTATCTTAAACATAACACTTACTTTGTTTTCATCAAAATAATTATGGAGAATAATGTTGATATGAGCAGCCCAAGTAGCTACCGATAAGTTTGCCAGCGTATGAGAGTTCGCCATGAAATTAGAAAATTTAGAAATTCAGAAATTTAATAGTTTAGAAATTTAGAAATTTAAAAATATTAAAATATAGAAATATATAGAAATATGTTTTAATTGGTAAATTAAAATATTTAGTATCATGTAAATGCAGAAATTTGGAAATTTGGAAATGCCAAAGTTATAAATTAAACATTATTATAAGTTCAAAAAGTTTGAAATTTGGTGATTTGGACAAATTAGAAGTTTAGAAATTTAAAAAACTGAGCATTCAGAAATTAAAAAAATTTTCAATTTAGAAATGTGAAGTAATTCAGAATTTCTTGAATTAGAAACAAAAGATACCAAATTTGGGAATTTGTAAATTGAAAAATCTATTAATGTATAAATATAAAAGATTGGTAACTTTGAAATTTAAATAACACATTCCCTGCTGCATTTGGATATGTTAATTATTTAAAAATAAGAGGTACTGAAAATTAATTCCTATTATTTAGAATTCGTGATGTGGAAGCTATAAAGAATGAAACTGTAACACGTTTAAAAACTAATGAAAATGTTGTAAAAAACGTTTTGTGGAAAGGAATTAATGATTTGGAAAACAAAATACCACCAAATTGGGACAAACCGTCAGAACTTAGGTAATATTACTTAATAAGATATTTTTATATGTCGTAGATTAATTACTATTTTTTAGTCCAAGCACAATTGCTTATGATATACATATTTCATTATTTGCAATATCCATCTAAAATAATTATCTAACTCAAACATGTATTATATTCAGCATTATATTCTCTATATCTATGTATATTTAGAAAGTTTCTCAATATCTTATTCATTTTATTTTCTTATACCCCTCTGTTTAGTTCAGTCTCTTTTTTTATTTATTGATAAATCAGGACGTATTGATTTTCATAAAACTGCATAAAAAATTTGATATATGAATTTTGCATATATGAATATAAACTATCTAAGTAAGTATAAAACAAATAAATAAATGTATACATACATATACATGTTCGTTTATCTGTTTATTATAAATAGTGGCTATAAACTATTTTGTTAATATAAGATTGTTGCAAATAATTCAATAAACATCACAAACAATTTATCAACTAGTAATTAAATAATAATATTTCCTTGTATAGAAACTGATAATAAATATTTGCTAATTATATTTGAAATTACAGATTATGCGATAGGAATAATGCTTCAAATATAAATCAAGATGATTTTCAACAACTGTACACTCAATTGAGATTAATAAATACAGATATCATAGAAAATAAAAGAAAAGTTGATGATGGCGTTCAGAGAATTCTTTCAGAAATAGGATTTTCCGTGAAAGGAGAAGCTGCAAATATTAATACTAATCTTATTCGAAGATTCAATGGCATATCAAATGATATTGCGAAGGAAGAACAAACAATAGTGACACATATAACTAATAAAATGGAACAGAAACTAAATCAGGTAACAATCATTTCTGATCATCTAATCAAATATTATTCATCGATTATGTAAACATATCGATGTGTTATGCTTTCATGGATTTTTATCATTTTCTTTTTAACTGATTTATTATTAGAAAATAATTAAATACATTTTCTATTAAAAAATAATAGTGTAATAATAATAATGACAATAGTAAAATTAGAGTAATATTATGCAGGGCGGCCCACCACATTTTGTCATCTAGATTTGCGTCTTTATTATTACTCAGCAAACAATGTTTTAGATGAAGTTAAATGGTTTTGAGGAGGTCATATGCTGGTGGTATATTTTTTTTTGTAGGTGATGTATAAAAGACATATGAAGGTCATTAATATTTTTTTAAATGGAATCATATATTTTTTATTGCATTAGCTGATACTCCTTCATATTCTTTACAAAAAAGTATTAATCTATTTATGTGAAAAAGTCATTAGTTTAGGAGATATTTTAATTCTAACTTGTTAGGAAATCGTGACTTCCTGGTCAATATTATGAATTGCCCTAACTGAACAGCAAATGTTTTTCTACATGCTTTGAGACGTCACGTGTCACCAAACGAATTATGAGTTTTTGTTTTTTTTTTTTTCTTTTTACACAGTAACAGTGAAATTTTATCCCTGTTACGTCTGTAATACGATGAATACGACGATACGGTGAATTATGACTTCATAATGAAGTATTTTAAAGAAGAAAAGATAGACATGTTATGAGTTTGTTTTGAAGCTGGGAAAAGTGCTACACATGCAGAAAGATTATACACTACGGAACGTTAGTAAGTCATTAATTTCTCGATTCGGTAAGTGTTCTAATCCAAATGGTCGCCACATTGAACCTTTTCTGTAAATAGACATTAAAATTAAAATATCTCCTAAACTAATGACTTTTTCACATAAATAAATTAAAACTTTTTGTAAAGAATATGAAGAAGTATCAGCTGATGCAATAAAAAAAAATATGATTCCATTTAAAAAAACATTAATAACCTTCATGTCTTTTACACGTCCACTTACAAAAAAAATATACCACCAATATATGCCCCTCTGAAAACCATTTAACTTCGTCTAAAACATTGTTTGCTGTGAGTAATAATAAAGACGCAAATCTAGATGGCAAAATATGGTAGCCCATCCTGTATGTATATTTGTACCTTTATCGGAATTGCAATATAACGACGTTTGAAATTAGATTTGTGAACAAAATTTGTGAATTTGTTCGAGACGTTTGTCACACTTATGGAATACATATTCGGCTAAACAGGAAGTCAAATCTTCTTCTATGTTGTTTAGGAAACAGTTAGTAATTAATTAGAACGATAATCAGGAAAATTCATGAAAACGTTACACACCTATAGATTGACCAAAAATTATTTGTTATATTGATGTCTATTTTTTTGCAAAAGGTTCTGCAAGAAATATATGTTATACGTGAATATATGACATTTGTAAAAAATGCAAATGTACCGAAACATTAGACAACTCATTATAATACAACTTCTACCATTACTGGAAACCGGAGTAAGAAAATTTGAGGAAAATAAAAAGATCAAACATGGAGGCCAGTAACTAAATTATTTGTTGAATTAATTTCGACCTGTGAAGGACAAACTGTGTCTGATAAAAACGGGATTAGACAACATATAATGTTAATAATGTATATAATATTAATGTATTTGAAGGCAATGTAATTGCTGCAGCCAGTTTAAAAAAATAAAACAAATTTTTGACAATCAAAAGTTATTAAAAAAATTCATTTTTACTACCGTTAGAGTAATTATAATTTACATTTGGTACACGTTATTACCTCTCAAAATGTGCACGACGCACGTATTTATTAATGATCCTACAAGAAATAAAATGTGTCCACATTTTTTTATTAATTACTATTGTATGGATCTAAATCAGATAAAAAGCGGAGACAGATCATTTATTGAGAATAAAGCGATTGAGTTTCATTGTTTAATTAGAGAATAGTGGTGGTAAAATTCAAATCTATTTGTATGAAGACAAATCTATTTGTATTTTATGTGATAAAATAGCACAATAAATATTGAGGTCTGCTTAATATGAATTAGTATTTCCACTCAATCTTTACCTTATTTTAATTCATAGAATTAGCCGGCAGATTTATACTTATTAATTATGACGTACTTTATAACTGGTAGTGTGTTACCAATGCGGTAGAAATTTGTTTGTTGGCAATCACGATCAATATCAGCTCGTACCCAACACTATAGCTTAGCGTTATGCGTACCTACTCTTATTAATCAGTATTTTTCATCAATAATTAAAAAAACTAAATCCTAACAATCGTTTTCGTAAATGAGAAACCGGTTCATCCCAACTATCAGCACCTACAGCATGATTATATCAACGCCTAACATGACTATAAGATAAAAGTTACATGATTCTTTATGCTTATTAATTGTAATATGTTTCGCTGATTACGCAAAATCTCTTTTCTCAATATTTGAAATTCGCTAAATAGTTAAATAATATTTGTATGTTTCACGAATAACAATAGACCTAACATATGTCATCGACCAAGCGAGTGGAAGTAATTTTGATTAACAAAATATATATATGTATACATGTATAATTTTTGCTACCGGAAGGAATATAATTTGAATTAAAAGCTTTGATTTAATATAAATTTTAATGTACAATTATAATTCTATAACTTGTGGGTCTACATACTAGGTGTTTCACGCGAATTAGAATGTGTATTTAAACAGAGTGCCCACCGTTATAAATTGAACAAGAATGGGATGTAGGGACTCTAAAGACTTTCCAAACGATTTGTTTAAAAACTATCGGAAACAATACCAAAATTTGATTATTGTTGTTTTGACGACAACTAACGTCAATGACGACAAAATATAATAATCTAGGTTAGCAAAGAATGCATTTTTGCAAAAATGGGAGGTGAACAATTTCATTTATAAAAATTTGCGTGCTTCCTTCTCGTAAAATTTTAATGATTAATTGTAAAGTTGAGCTCTTTACCAACCGAATTACTATGTACAAATATTTTACAAAAAAAAATCAACAAAATGTTGCTTCTTGGCTTTAAAACCCGAAATCGTATTTTTGCGTATTTTTGAAAACCAAATATCAGCTATCGCTGTCTTTCCTGACCACGACAACATAAGATAAGCATTGATTGCCAGAGCATATCAATTTTCTGATAGAATCGCTAAAAATCGTATTCAGACTCAGAATAGAGATACCAAAGGTGACACCTTTGATCTCTCAAAAACGCTATCCCTTTAAATTGGTTGTACAAACGAGCGGGAAATTCAAATCAAACAAATCTACTTTCATGTCAACCTCTAATAATTTGGAATATATTTGTAATAAATTTTCTGTATATTACTAATATTGTCTTTTGAGGTATTTTTATCGATTTTACGATGTTGAAAAGCTGAAAAAATAAAGAATATACGAAAATGATTGCTGTATAAAATATACAGTCAGTGTAAAAAGTATTCGTACAGTAATTAATTTCAACAAAAATGTTGTGAAACGTCATTTATTAACAAAATTTGAACAAATAAAAAATACATACATATTCTTAGATGTCTATGTATTCTATGTAAGAATGTGTATGTATTTTTTATTTGTTCAAATTTTGTTAATAAATGACGTTTCACAACATTTTTGTTGAAATTAATTACTGTACGAATACTTTTTACACTGACTGTACTTGTAGAATATGTATTAGGAAAATGAGTATGGCAAGTAATTTATAAGAAAATGAAAAACTATCTATCACAAGAAATCACAGATGAATGTGTTACAGAAATATGACAAAATATTTATTATAAATAAATAACTGGTCAAAATGCAGTTTAAACTATTCTGTCTCGACCGTCATACTTGTACACTATGCACATGTGCACCCCCGATTCCTTTGATTTGGACATTTAAATTGGTTGTGTCGTCTGCCTCTCTCTAGGAGGTATGTTTCCTTGTCTAGTGTCGCCTCTTGTTGTATCCCTACTCTTTGGTTATACAGCGATAAAAATATTAAATTATTAAAGCATTAAATATTAAATATTAAATTAGTGGGAATTTTTTAGGCACTTGTAATACGTGAGGGCGACTGTTACGTAGGAGTGATGAATTTGTCTAATAAATTTGTAAGGGATCGTCTACACTAGTACTGCTACATCCGTACTAGTATTAGTTTTACTAATACTAAACCTGTACCAGGTCTGCCGTTAGAAAAAGAAGACAAGAAAGGAATGAAATGATTTTTTTTCCAAAATCCCCATGTTTCTTCATCTCCAAATATCTGGATCCCAAATAGTTAAATTCACGAACTTAGGTTCTCAAATTCCTAAATTCTGAAATTCCTACATCACGAAGTATCTAGAATCTCAAATAGCTAAATTCTCATATCCCCAGGTTCCCAAGTTCCTATATTCTCAAATCCCTACATCCCCAAATCTATGGACCCCCAAACAGTTAAAGTCCCAAATTCCTAGATTTCCAAAATCCTAGATCCTCCTGTAAGGAGTCGTTACATTTTGTCGAATGCTTTTAACTTATTATTATTCACATCTAACACCAGAATATTTAATCTTGGTAATAGTCGTGGTAATTGTGGAATAATTAGGATTCGAATCTTAACAATGTTAAAAAGTCGTCGTACAGTTAATCATAATCTCCAGCAGTAATGCTATCGGCATTATCTAAAAATACAACCTTTAGAAAATGATAACACATGTATCAACCAGTCAGCTTTGAAGTCACGTGACTGCCGTTCGTTAATGCTTTTATTCGCTCGTGTTTTCAGTTCCCATCGTTCCAGTGGCGCTGTTATTTCATTCTAATATGAATCGATAATGTCGCATGTGATATAAACATGTTAAAGGAACTACATACTCTACGAAACATTTGGATTTAATAATAGATATACTGAATATTTTATCTTTTACATAAGTAAAACAATCTTATAGTAAACACCTTGCTCATATTTTTTAAAAGTTAAGAATGATTTGAATATTTTCTGTTCATAAATAATGGTTAGTATATTATTATTTATTTTTCATTCTCTTCTTTTGTTGTATTTTTTAAACATAATATGCATTTAAAGCATTTGTACAAAATTATCAGTGACTTGAAAATTTACTAGTTAATGAAGTTCTAGAGTCTCAGAAAGTGGAAACAGAAAATTCATTAGATTTGTAAAGGTTGTCCGTCACTGAATTCTAAATTCTGTAATTATCGACTGAGAAAAATTTTACGGATGATGCATCAGGGTAGAAAACTGAATCGCCGAGTAAATGTTGCGCGTATTGATATTTCAGTTCACTCGTTTCACAATAGAGGAATAATATGATGTAATTTCTCGCTAGTAATCGTGTTCGTAAAGTTTAAAATATAAGCAAGATGGGAAGAACCTTTACCAGGAGTTTAGCGAGTGAACACTATGTGCCTAGAAGGCAGCAAAGTTGTTTCGTGGTAACCTAACCGTTGTTTGTAAAATTTGACTTCCTCTCTGTTTCGTTACAGTTTCTTCGAGGAAACGTTGGTTTGTTCGCCCTTCTTCCAACATCAAAAAAAATTCTTGGAAGGGTATTCTCGCTAAACTCTTATTTTTTAGAAACTTTTATATAGTAAATATTCTTTTATAAACATATTTTTATCGAGCTACACCAATTATTAAAATTCTTTCAGTGTCAATAAAAATATTTATTTTTAGTAAAGAAGATGATTAATATTCTGTAGTTAGTTTTGTTGTATTTGTTGCAACTTTCTATTTAAGGTACAAGAAAGTGGAGTTACATATGGTCACATAATCCGTACAAACATTTACCAGCGTATTTCTAAAGTATAGAGATGATATTGCAACGAGAGGTGTAAGGGAAAGGGAACACTGTAACAGCTTGTCTAAATTCCATCTAAATTCAAAACAGGAGTGAACTTGCTACCAACAGCTGCATATAAAGCACTTACCAATGACAGCTATTTAGGTCAGCTAGTCCGCATTACACTAAAGTGCAATATCACCGCATCATATCAATCCATTCAAATTAAATTGAAGTTGTGTGATTATGAAAAGAACGAATATAACTTATAATGATTTTGGTCGAATCATCATCATATTATAACACAGAAACATGTCCGTGAGTTACGCTGAGACGTTGTACGCATGCTCAAAAATAAGGCAGAAAAATATTAAATGTGTACTCTTACAATGATAGTACAGTGAAACCCTTATTAAGGGACACTTTTTAAGGGATACATAAAATCTAATTACGTCATCATTGTGCGTGCTTCGACTACTTTTTCTTTGATTACTTTCTTTGTAAAAATTTATTGCGTATGTCTATCTTTTACGGTTTAAGACTATGCAGGGGGTCAAGGACAATTTATGTTACATTGTCGAGAGTCAGATAAAAAAATAATATTAAAATTTGTTGGCCTTTAGTTAATACAAACCAACACAATGTAGTTTACAATGAAGTTTTTAATTAAAAGTTTCATTTGGTTTAATATCACGGAATTGGAGCTTGGGGTGGATGGAGAGCAAAGTCAAATTTATATTTTTAACCGACTTCGAAAAAGGAGGAGGTTACTCAATTCGATCAGTATATTTTTTTTTTTTTTTTTTTTTTT